TGACTTGACGAAGCCTGCTGCGGGAGGAAGTGGCATGATCAAAAGGTAGTGACGAGCCAGCAGCTGTCAATCTGCAGGTCTTCCGCCCACTGTGATGCTTGAACTGTGGGCAGGGGTCCACCCAGGAGCTGTCAATCTGCCCGCTCTCAGGATTCGCTTCTTGTACCTCAAGCTGGTGCCTGAGCAAGACATGTTGCCTGACAGCTGATGAGGTCTCAAAGACACCTGTCGTAGTATGAGCGTCCAAAGGGGTCTAGCATGAAATCCACCATTTGCTTTTGACGCATACCCAGTTGGCATCTGCGGAAGTTGGAATGGGTTGTGTGGGGGGGGGGGGGGACAAACAGCATGCTTCGAATTGCACCGTTGGCACAGGAAGGACTCAGAAGCCACTGGTATCTCAAGAGTATTAGCCCAAGTGGCTTTTCCTGCTTGGGTATCCTGGCTTTCAGCTGTGTTTTGGCTTCACATTCCCCAAGCAGTGAGGGAGGCTGTTGGGTCCAATGCGGTGCGGGAAACCCCGCATCTCGAATTGGGGAACAGCGAGTTGCGGGTTTGGCGGCCAAAAGCCAGAGAGGGGGTCACCTGAAAGCCTCACTGTTGGTCACTGGCATCTGAATCCCTTTGCGAACGTGGTTGCCACTAAAACTCGGGTGAGCTGCTAAAGCGGCTTGCCCGGGATCCACTGGGTTTAGGCCCCCTACTTCATGCGATATCGATGACTTGAAGGGCAGGCTGTTTCGCTGCCATGGCAGACTGAGTTGAGACGCGTTACATTCACTTCGGATGTGAAGCGTAAGCATGTGCGTAGCTGGAGTTTGTACACTGCTCGTCCGAAGTGCGCACCGTTCTCAGGTGGGTGAACATACCACAGGACAATGACCTGCCAGATGAAGTGGCACAGGCGATCGCGGATTCGTGAGGGAGGGGGAGGGAGCCCCACCATCCAACGGGCGGGGATGCCTGGAGAAGCCAGGGATAAGCCTCCAACAAGGCGGTTTTACAGGTTTAGCAGATACCCATGCCTGGATAAGCCAAGAACACTCCCCCCAATAAGGCCTTTTTCTCACGGGTTTAGCGGGTGATACCCCCCTCACCACAGTCCCCCTTTGGAGCTCCGCTGCTCGGAAACGGATCCTTCAGGCGTTGGAACTATCCTTCCAGCAACAAACGTGGAAAGCTGGTTCTAGTCGTAAAGCTGGGTCTAAGTAGAACATCATGTGTAATTTACATAAAGGCAGCCAAAAGGGGATAGTACCCCTACCCAGAAAATGCGAAATTCGTAAATTCGTAAGGGTCAAATATAGCTCATGCGGCAGCCAATCGCCGTAAAGCAACCGGAACGCAGCCTCTAAAGATGGTGCACCGCCCTTGGCAAGAGCTCCGAACGTGCCTCTTGTTTTTGCTATGTCGGGATTTCTGGAAGGCCATCAACGCATTTCCCCGTGCTTCCAGCAGCCAGGGGAAGCCACCAGCTACACAGTCACTGGCACTGGCTGTGGGATTTCGATTCAACAACCACAGCAAGGCTGCGTTTTTTCAGTATCTCGGAACGGTTGGTGGACATGCGCATGTATTTCTGATGTCGGCCAAAGGGAAGCCTTTGCCAGGTAACACATATAGGTGTGGCTCAAAATTAACCCAGAGGGGTTACGCAGGTTTTGGTCCATGTTTCCACTTAACAGGGTTCCATTTTGGTACCGTTTTTTTGAGCCACAGCCATATAGCATTGGATGTCGAAAGCCCCGCATGCGAGGGCCCTCGCTTCAGTCCTGGCCTCCTGCGCCGGTGGGGTGGCCCAGATCCGGCGCGAAGCGGACACAAGTCCGGGGCGCGTGTTCGCGGCGGTGCCTTGTTTATAGTGGACCCCTTTTGGATGGTATATGCAGGGAATGTTGCCATTTTGAGGGGGACCCCATATTTCGAGAATTTTCCGAATGAGCAGTACACTCACTCCCTTCAATGTGGCGATGGCAGGGAATTGTTTCGCCGAGCACTAGCTGGTGATTGTTTCTTGCTCGGGGGTTTGTGATATACCCTTACAATTGTCTATCAAGCCACAGCCCGGATATCTCTACATTTCTATAATATATGTATATATATATATATCTACGCATATTAATATTAGTATTACGGTGCCTTAGGTTGTGCAGTCCTCCGCATGGGCACTCTGGGTCATTTTCCTTTCCTTCAGAATCCTCCTGCCCTGTTCGTGACTCTCACTATTTTGTCCATGCCGGTCAAAACTCTCATCGACTGGAGCCTGCCTCTCTCTCTTTCTTGCACTGCTTGCCAGTTTCGACCGAAGTCACAAACATGTGAGGCTTGGTACTCTTTTCAGCTTCGTGGCAAACCGCCAATTTGGGGTCCCACTATTTTGACCTCGGGGGTTTCCCCTGGCAATTTCAAGTACCAAAGCAACGGCTGAATTGAATCCATTCGCAAAGCGAGGCACCAGGAGTTTCTCTTCAGGACCTGGGAAAAGCGGCAGGGAATCGAATCGGCTCGGCTTGTGCTGAACAAAGGCAGGCCCACTGGATGAGTTTGAACGGGTGTGGATATATGTTTGATGGGTGTGTGTGTGTGTGTCAGATGTCGCTACCCTGAAAGATTCGTGCAATGGTTCCCTTGTTAGCCATAAGGAGTCCTACGTTTTGCATTTACATCAAAGGGGTGCCACTGGAGGACTTGCACGTATTTGGGTCGACCCCCTTAAACGAGCTTGAAGGGATCGCTTTGCCATGTTTAATGTGGCTATATGTATGTTATCATGTTGACTTTCCATTGTTTCGACATATACATATGTATAGTGTACATATATATATATATATATATAATATACACACACGTTTGAACAACTGGACAATATATCCAGGGTTTGATTTTGGTTAGGCCCCATGTCGATCTTGCAGGTTGATTGGAATCCTGTTTGGGTAGTTCTATTTGTAATGTTGTCGGGCATTTACATGCAGATTGGGGGCGACCCAAGGGTTTGGCCGCTCGGAAGGATTGACCGAGCCTGTGGACCGCGCAACTCACATTCTGTCAGTCGAAGCTTTGCAAGATGCCTGTGATTTAGCCCCCCTGCACCGGTAGACCCTCAAGTCATGCTTTCAGTCAATGGCTTCCTGGGGCAGAGTCCCAAGTTTAAACACAGAAAGGCAAAGACCATCCAGTCTGAACAAATCATATCAAGCTCACCAAGGGCAAACATGGAATGCAGCCTGTCGTTCTTTTAGTGTAGCGCTTTCAGGTTGCATTTAAGGGATGCCAAAGTAAAACTCATTTTGGGGCGAGGGGGGGGAGGGTTCCTCTATCTTGAGACAAACCCAGAATTGACTCAGCCTCATACGAACGCAGGAGTTTCGTGGGGGACTTTGTGGCCAGCGGGGTGCGCCCGGAACTGACAAATTGACAATGGCGCGGGCGTGTCGGGGTCCGCTTAGGGTTTCTGCAAAAATACGTCACCAAATTAGGGGTACAGATATGAAGCGACATCTCAGGATATGGGTATGGGTCAAAATAAGAGAGCTGGGGCAAACCGCGGGATTTAGGCTTTGGTTCCACCAAGGTGCCATTTTGGGTACCACTTTTTTAAGACCACGGCCATATGTTTTTTTTTTTAATGGTGGCGCCTCTAGGAGGCGACCGTGTTGGATGGCTTGCTCCGGGCAGTTTCAGCGAGCTGGGATCTCTTCAGGCGAGGTAAAAAGTTAGGTTCAAGAATTCACTGGGAGCTAAGCAGTGAATTAGTGAATTCTTGGAAGCAGCTTCCAGTGAATTAGGTTCACTGGGAGCAACGTATTCGTTGGTTCTTTTTTGACGCTCAGCATTTTGGTTTTGAGTACACGACACCCAAGGTGGCACAGTTGAGCAGCCCAAGCAAGACACGATGTGTTTTTACGCCGTTTCCTAGAGTGCTTCGGCAAAAGGACAGCCCTGCATCGCGGAAGGTCGAGAAATGTGTGCTAAACGTTGGCGAAAGCTCCGCAGAAGGGCTACTTCGGAGATGGACATTGGCTCCTCTGTCAGATCTGTGCACAGGCTGCCAACTTTGAAATTCAGAGGGGGATTTCTATGAAAGCTCCGCGAAGGCTCCGCGAAAGGCGTGGATGTTTGCTTGTACTAAAAAGTTGCTTGAGTTGGAGCCGAAGTGTACTTGGTGTGCTACTCTCACGATTTTCGAGCTGGAGATATTAAAGTATACTTACTCTTGTGCTGACACTTTCAAGGCGCCGCCGTGAAAGTGCCGCAAAAGGGTTGCCGCAAAACAAGCCCTCCAAGGAAAACGCACTTGCGCACAAAAGCCTTAGCACTGCTCCATCGGGTTGAAACAGCCAGACCAGGAGACCATGTACATGGCACTAATCCTTTTGTTGAGGGCAACCTCCTTGTCAGAGTGGCTTCAACGGAGAACCAAAAAGACAATGTTTTGCTTTGGAGACGAATCAAAGCGTTCAATCTTGGCTTCAGCCCAGCTTGATCCCAACCTCTCACCCAAAACATCGGCCAGGTGGACGTTTGGGTTGCCTTTTCACCATGAACCTGGGCTGTCAACGGGGTGAGGGAAACCCTGGAGCAATGGCGCTGTGCCCAGACTGCCCAGATCTTCTCTCTGCCTTTTGCGTGGAATCGGCCACAAGCACGCAAACAAGTCGGCTCGAGCAGTCGACGAATGGATAGTGATGAGTTTGGAAGCAATCCATCAGGTTCCTCAGGACATTAGCAGTGTGCGGATACTGGGACTCCTAAGCTAGCATGAGGCAATGCAGGCAAGCATCACACAAGTGTCAACAACGGAATACCGGTTCGTCTCAAAATGGACAGGTGTCACAACTTGAAGCTCGCCTTTAATTTGCACTTTTAAACGACCCTGCACCAGTAAATTACCCTCCAAAACACACATGCCCAGAACCACAGGCGCAGTGTCACCGTGTCACGTGTTGACTTGCCCGCCGTGTGAAAACCTCATGGCGACCGTTGCCGTGGTGGGCGGCGGCATGGCGGGCGTGGCAGCAGCACGAGTTCTGGGGCGAGCAGGAGCGGACGGGTTGGCTTGGGAAGCCCCGATCCTCAACGGGGCAGGGAGTCTTTAGTCTCCATGGTTATAACCCAAATGGCTCTGGACGCAATGTTCACAAGCTGAGGAGCAAGACGACCTCAGACATGAAGGTCCTTTCATTCCCCGATTTCCAGCTTAGTAATGTGTGTGCGCAGATCTTTTTGCCGGGGTGGTAAACACAGCCAACAAGCAAGCGTGGAACCTGGAATTCACAAATTGGGTCCCTTCAAATCCGACACACGGTCTTTCAGGAGGTCGCTTTCAGGTTCCATGCCTTGGTTTGAGGGTGATTGTTTGCAAATTAGCAGAAGGAGGTCTTCTACAAAACGGTTGCTCCAGGTTCCATATAATAAATGTGCAGCTTGCCTGGGATGGAGTGACACGTGAATGAAGAGAGGTCCGTTCTCAAGGGTGTGACTTGGATCTCAGAGTAGCATCTGCATCTTGATTCCACAGGTTGCTCATTGACCCGTGTGATAACCATCGGTTTCATGCGACTGAGTTGGTTTTCCAAATCGACCTAGAAACGGAGGCTCTTGCGGAGCCTCCTGCCTACTGGTGTCTTTTGACCTTCGATTGGAGCTTCGCAGCTGCTAAAGGAGTTCTTCCACCTTGCCAGGAAAATCAAACCACACCAGAAGGAAGCAAAAAACATTGGCCAGAAGAGGCCAGAGACCGCTTCGCCACGAAGTCTTGGACACTTCGACTCAGAGACGCCGACTTCCCATCCCAGGGCTGCAGGTCCGGCTCTACGAGCGCGAGCAGCTCGGGGGGCGCCTGGGCGCTCTACAGCTCGGCGAGCACCAGGCCGCGGCGAGCTGGGGCGCAGAAATGCTTTGCATGGCCAAGAAGTTGGGGATTTCCCTGGAAGGTTTTTCGCAGATCTTGCACAGTGGCGAAGGTTCTTCCAATCAAACGAGGGGCTCGTGACGTATCCCTTGAAGAATTGAATGGGTGGTGTCCTTTCGGTGGCCCGTTGAATCAGCCAGAAGTGTGTCAGGCTCTCAAAGCCACCAAGAAGAAGGGGACCCTCAAAAAGGGACACACCCCCGGATTGTTTGAGAACATATCTGCATTTCATGGCCAGGGAAACGAGCTCATGGTGTAGGTCCTTACTGGAAGACTCCTTATTTCTGGTTTTGGAATTGGTGCAAAATGTGCACAACGTGCGTATGCTCCAAAGACCCATCTTGAGATTCGTAGGGACAGTCAAGGGTCATGGATCATAAGGCATCCCAAGGAAGCCATGGCTATGGCCCACATATATGGGGAGCATTGATGTCACATCTGTGTCGTTTTTGGGTCAGTTTGTTTAACATAGATGGAACAAAAAAAAGGAATCGGTTTGGCTCCAATCAATTACCAGGTGAAGTTTATTTGTTGGCACCAAACTTTGCTACAGGCGGATCCAAGAGGTCAAGCGCAGCGCGAAAGCGACAGAATGGCCACGTAGAATCGCTAAGCAAAACCACATTTTCAGGCGATTTGGGGAAGACCTTTTTTTTCCTGACCGTCAAAAGTGCGGGCCTGGCTTTGGCCTGTTCATTTGATCCATTCATTCCCAACCAGCCTTTGATTGCACCCGGTCTAAGGCAACTATCCATTGGCTGTGAAATGCATGTGCATTGAGCTTGTATGAAGAGAACTTCAATTAAGGCTCGCTTGGAAATTTGGAAGTAGCACGTGCCACAATGAGTTACCTTGTTGTGGTTCACGTTGGAATAGCATGTCCGAAGGGCCACAGATCCATGCTACTTTGAAACTTTGCAGGTGAATTCATGCACACTTTTGGCTGGCCAGCTTGAAAGTGAGCGCCCTTTGGGTGGGACTAGGTCCGAACAGAGAACCTGTTGTATTGTTTCATGTTTGGTAATACAGATTTGCTGAAGCGAATCGTTCAACCTTCTTGGCGCTTCAACCCATGTGTGCTTGATAGGTTTGGTAGCATGGTACTCAACTTTGAAACCGGGTTTGGAAGAAACACGCCCACAGGCACCCACACAATGTGTGTATGTGTGTGTGTGTTTGTAGGGGGAGTGCTAGAACTCGGTTGGAGAGATCCTGAAAACGAGCCAATTGCCAAAGTATGGCTGAGCGATGGCTGGGAGTATTCACAAGTCTCCACAAGACAGCGAAACTGCAGGACAACGCCAGGAGGTTGCCGCCGGCAGAAGGACTATCGACAAATCAGTTCATGGCCCGATTAAGGGCTTTCAGGTTGCATATCCTGGACGCACAATGGATCTGTTTTCTACCATGACAATCATGACACACAAAGGCAGCACGGCACGAAACAGGGGGCGGCGCAGCGCGACGTATTTTTCGTCATGTCAGTCAAGCAACTTCAGGCTTGCCTCTCGCGAATTTATGGGGTAGAGGCTGAGGAAAGTCGCAAAGACCTTGGCCCATATACGCAGCAACACGCAAAGAAGTCTTAACACGGCACTCCCGCTGCACAGGTTGCTGTTGGTCGCACTTCAAAGCATCTGAAGAGGAGTGTTCCCGTGTTCAAAGCTGCTCGATGATTTTGTTTTTTCTCTGGCAGCTCTTCGCCGCGTTTCAGGTGGGCTTGGGTGCCACCTATGTCAAGGCGAAGGACCCACTCTTCAAGGTGCAACATGAAGCGGTCGTGGCAGCGGTCGTTGGTTGGGCATCCTTCAAAGGACGCATGAAATTTTTCGGGGATTATGCCACTGACTGGTCAACGTGGCTATGGCTGTTCATGAGTAGTGCCCCGTCAAAACATTGGTGGATGTTGAATACTTGGCACACTGGGACCTGTCAAAATATAGGCCCCTTTTGAAACCCTCATGCCATTTTGCTCCGCCTTTGAAAGCACAACCACAAAGGCAACATTTGGTGAAGCCTGCACAGACCCTCCCACCGACAAGCGGCTATGATGGAACCCACCAGAGGGTCCCCTTTAAAGGCAAATCATTTGCCAGAATTTTGCGCCCCAAACAAGTTGCCATGTGAGTGGGTTGCTGCAAGCAGTTCCTAAAAGAGGATCACATGAGGGTAGAAGATTGGGAGCCGGGATCCTTTGGTTTTCCCTTTGCGACGCTTGGCAGCGTAGCATGTGCCGTTCGACCGGGTCAAATGGGAGCTGCCCCATGAATCATGGAAACTGACAGGAGGGTTTTGGATTGGGAAGGCTGCTTTCCTTTTGGGGAATGCCCAGTTCCATGATTTTTGGAAAGAGGGGCAGTGGCTGGGTGAGTGAATCTATTGTTTTTGGTTGCATGTTTTGATGTGTTGCATGGTTGTTTCTGTTGCTCCTGATGTTGGATAAGTGGGAACCATCCCAAAGACGAATGTGTTGCTGACAGTGGGACGGGGTTTTTGTCTATGGGACTCGCAACGGCAGGCTGAGATGGCCAAGTGGGAAGAGATGGGCTTGGCCTCGGAGTGGAGTGTGGGCGTGCCTCACTTCATTGCGCCTGGGACGTCCGGTGCTTTCTTCTCTCTTTTTTTTTTTTGTGTGTGTGTGTGTGTGTTTTTGGGTTGTTTTCTGCCACCTACAGAGTTGAACTTTGCGAGTTGAACTTTGCGAGTTGCAAATGCGGCGCCTCAAAATTGGCGGTTTTCCTCTTGGTATTCTTTGTGAAATGCGAGCCCTAGGGTCAAAAGGGTAAAAAAGGCAGACTGGATGTTGGTGAATGAAGATGGGAATGGAAAGAGGAATGACAACGCTTGATTGCGTGCGAAATTCAAAGAGCTCCATGTTCCTCCCAAAACGGCAGACACTGACGAGAGATGCAACTTTGCCCACACCCCATGAGGACATGTAGTTGCCCCTTGAGTCTTGCAGCCAGTAACGGCAAAGGCACTGTTTGTTGGGGATTGACCAACAACCGAACAGGGAACAAGGATGCCACTGAACAAAACTTGTGATGTCCGTAAGAGTCAAAGAGTTACAACCCCCTCTGTTGAGCAAAAAGGGAGCAAACCCGTTGGATTTGTTGCAAAGGGTGTCACTACACAGCCTTTGGGTGTTGCTCACCCTTCAGACCAACTTGTAGCAAGCGTGTATGTGACGTCCTATGTTAAGGGATGCGGGGCAATTTGAATGCTAAGATTCATGTGAACATAAACTTTCATGTGCCATTCCCTCAAGTTTAAATGTTGTGTTGATTGCCACCTGACCCGGGCATAGATTTAGGGGTTGCGTTCAGCGGTTGCTTGTGGCCATAAGTTCTTTTGGACTGGGCTTCGGTTTGAAGAAATCTTGCACCCCGACGAGGAGGGTCCTGGTGACTTCCGGGAGAAACCGGAGCTCAAGGGCCCGGACGACCGCTGGCACGTGGGCCGCCCAAACATGGCAAGCTTTGTGCAGCTGTCGGAGGAGGACTCCAAAAGTTCCCTTGCGCGGGTCTGGGTCTCATTTCAAGAATCGATACTCTATTTTGGGCTGTTTCAACAGGAAACCACATGAAACTACTGATCAAAGCGGTGGGGCTTGGTTGCAAAAGAACCCCTAAGAGCACTACGCTGAAAGGGGCTTGGTTGCAAATAACCCCCGCCTTCCAAGCCTTCGAAACCTGAAGGGCATGCCTTGTTCTCCCTAGGGCCGGTGGGGCTGGACCTCTGGTCAAATCCAGGGAATGTTTTATGCGTGCCCCTCGAGGGTTTTGGACGCCAACAGACTGGCACGAAGAGTTGCAAACCACAAGCTCGATGGGCTGCACTCAAAGCTGCAACAAGACTTAGGGTGCACTCTAATGTTGGAGAGTGATTAATAAATGGCCCCCCTCAAACGAATTGGGGGGGTCAATAGCGAAAACCCCAAAAACAAAATGGGGGTCAGACTGGGACCTGACTGAGTAGTCTTCCAGTAAGTATTGTTTAGAATTGGTGTAGTATTGGTTTAGTATTCCTTTGATCTGGCTCACTACGGTTTAGAATTGGTTTAGTATTAGTTCAGTATTCTTTTCAGTTGACTCACTACAGCTTAGAATTTGTTTAGTATTGGTCCTTCTTCTTGGCAGGCTGCCCTGGCCATTGTTTTTCACAATTCCCTACCCTGAAACAAGCTGCATTATTGCCTTCCTGGGGGTTCCGTGCGCCACCCCCTTGAAAATTTGTCAGGGTGCATCTTCTAGTAAAGGGATCGACAAGGATTTTGGTGGTTTGGGACAGGAAGCAATCCAGAGATTCTGGACATTTCTGGCTGGACTCAAACGTGTCAACCCTCAAAAATAGTCCATTCTTGGAAGGGAACATATTTTCGGGATTTCGGGCAGATTGTTTTTCTGTAATACCTACCCTTGTTGCTTTTCAGGAGTGAATAATTTTGATATTTTTGTCTGTATTCACTCCCCTTTTATTAATCGCTATCTAACATTACTGCTGACAGCAAGTAAAATGCCAACGACATAATATCATGGGTCTAACTTCTGTAAGGGCGAGCTGGAGGTTGGCCGGTGCACCGAGGCCTTTTTTCTGGGCATGTGTATTTGTTTTGAAGCTTTTCCCATGAAGGTTGCTTTGTAGAAGGCCCAGTTCATATTTGAGGTTGGCAGAATGATTATGCCCTCCCACCAACTAATGCTTTCTGGGACCCTCAGTCAGCTTCCATGTTGGTAGAGTACTTCCAGCGTTTGGCATGTCCAGGACCGCAAGCAGATCACCATTTGCGGGGAAGTGTCCTCGTTGCGCTGGGCCGAGGAGCGGATGAAATGCGTCGGAAACCTCCAGTTGAGCGCTGCAGATGGAACTGCTGGGTTTGATGGGGGTATAGTAAGCGTTATGCGCGCCTCTACAATCATCTTGGTAGAACCAAGTGTTAGGTCTTGAGCGCTGCTCCGTGTTTGATGGAACTCCGAGAATGGGCAGTTGTCCGATTTCACGGAAAACACTCCCTGGAAGGGTTCATAGATGTTGCCTTTGAAGACCCAAAGACGGGGCGGGGGACCATAGCTTTGCCCCCGCCGAAGCGGTTCCAACTCAAAACCCAACTTGTGACCTCCTTCCTGACCACCCTTTCGTCCCCTCGCTTGACCGGGGAAACCTGCCGGGTTGCCTGAGTTCTAGGTGTTTGTCCAAAAAAGTATGACCATGCAACCACTATGAAGTCATATACTGTTTACTCATTCAGAGCCATACTTGTAAGGGACAGCCATTGTAATCGAACAGGACTGTTGACTAGGGCCATCCTCCCATGGAGCCATGCAGGACTCTTGGGTGCTGAACAGCCATCTGGCAGAGACTGGGCGATGGAGATCCCTTGCGGTACCTGAGTTCCCTTTGGCTTTGGTGGGTCCCACCCAAACGGTCCAGGCAACCGGGAAAATAGCTGTCCTTTTCCAGGAATCAACCCTTCCAGGAACAGCCATTGCTTAAACAGCCGACATGATTCCCGTTGAGAAGATTCCTTACTTACCGTGGGACACAGCCCCATGGTGTCAATGGCAAAGCATTGAACTACCCCCATGGAATTACGCGCCAATCAGGCACACGGAATTACCCCCACCTTGGTGGCACTTCATTGGTGGCTTGCTGAGCGGGTGAAGTCTTGGTTGGCCCTTCACCAGGCTTCCTTCAGGGTTCCCCTTGGTTTAAACATGCCCTTTTGGGCCACTTCCTTTTGGGTTCCTTCTGAAACGAGATGTTTGAGGAAAGTTCAGCTACTTGGCCACTCGACGAGTCCCATGTCCATAGGTAGATGATTGAGTTCTCCTAAGACTTCGTTGTTGGATTTCATAGTTTGAACTGGAGTAGCTCAAGGGCCAGAGCGATGTAGCAACAGTGCCGCAGATGTTCATAAGAATTTTCGCTTAAAGTGGTTGGGCATAAATCCAAGAATGTAAATAGTGTCTATATCCCACCAGAGGTGAAGATGTGGTGGCTGGTCTCATCTTGGCGCTTCCCGTGGCGCAACTCAAACCTTTGCTTCCAGCGGCTCGGAAATCGAACTCTTCGGCGGTGTGGATGTGACTTTTGTGGATCCACGAATCTATCCCTGTGGAATATGAAAAGGGTACAAAAAAATCAACTAAAACAGGGCCAGGGGGAAAAGGAGGTAAAATCCGCAAACAGCGCATCCACGCCCTTCTCTAGAAAACTGTCCCGGGTGCTAAGCAGCCCATATGCTTGAGTCGTTCAAAGGAGACCAAAGTCAAAAGGATAGTTTTTCAGACCCCTGGCTTATCATGTTGAAACGTCACCCGCTGTCCTGGTTGGAGACGTTTGTGTCGGGGAAGATCATGTTGGAGGTAAATACAAAGTCTAGACTTGTTGGCCAATCGGCCCAAGTGAAGTCATGGCACCCAAAGTCAACCTACTGTTGTGCTCGGTTTTGTAGGCGAGTGTTTAATGAAGTCAGCCCTCAGATTGATTTGGATTCGGGTGACCTCTCAAGTGGACCCAGCACCAACAGCATAAGTATGCCTTTGATGAAGTATTGTTGGGTGTCTCTTGCCAAGCTGTGGCAAAGTGCGGAAAGACTCTTCGAGCAGATGTAACTAGATTGTTTGAGGGGCTGTTTCAAGCTTTCTTGCCTTCCCCATAGGGGGGGGGTCATTGGAGGCTGTCTTGACTGATGGATTCCCCGATCCACTCACTTCGAACCAGCTTCTGAACTTTATACGTTTTCGGGGAAAACCATTGTTTTGGACACCAACAGGTTAGCAGCTTTTTGTGCGGCCAACCGCGCAGGAAATGAGTCTTAGCCACCAGGTGGTCTGCAAAGCAAAGTGGGTAGACACCTCCACCTTACCCCGTAGACTGCATCAACTAAACCCCGAACGAACCAAGTACCCTGTTTTGGACACAGTTTCCAGAGCTATTCTTTGATCTCACTGGGAGGTGCCAACAAAAGACAGTCCCCTTTAGCATTCCAAGTCAAAGCCATGCTGTGTTGCCTTCAAAGCCGGCTGAAGGCTGGTGTGTTTTTTGACTTGGGCGGTGTCACTTGCCCGTCAAATGTGGCACCCTTAACATGTGACGCCTCCCCAAGTAGCCAGAGCAGTGAAGGAAGCGAATCTTGGGACTCCGGGAAAGGATCCGTTCCAATGGCCGCAGGGATCTTAGGGTTGAGGTTGATTCGACGGTGTAGGCTTTGATTTAGGATTCTATGGTTTAGGCAAAGGCTTAGGTTAAGGGTTTAGGTGTACGTTCGAGATTCGAGTTTTTCAGAAGTTTGGTTTGGGTGTCGGGCTTAGGTTTCGAGTTTTGGTTTAAGGAGCTGGACAGGTGCGCTTCGGGAATTGAAAAGGGTCCCTTGCGGGCCAAATGGTTTGGCGTTGTCGAGGGCTCACCGGGCTCCGCAGGGCTCAAGAATACCCTCATGACTCAAAGGGAATCCTTCCCCCAGTCATGTTCAGAATCCCTACAGGTGATGCGCGCATTTTATGCTGGTCAACTCAATATTGAACACAAATCCCTGAACATGTCCCAGTCAGGGCTCCCCTTGCAAACTCAGACAGTGAAATCTCGCTGGCAGAAGCAATAGTGCCAGTTTGCTGCTTCAAACTCAGCAGGCACGACAAGGCAAGAGCACCATGGAAAAGGAAGCCGCTGACTCGTCACAGTTTCGATTTTGCGCTTGTTTGTTTTGGTTTGAACGTGCGGCCCATGCAGCATGGTGCTCTAACAGAGGGGATGTTGTTAGTTGATCCGTTTCTTCGTTGACTTGATTGGAGATGCCAGTGTTAGTGGTAGTGCAAGATGAGTAGGTCACAAGGGGTTCCCCAAACTTCAAACATGTTTTGCCTCAATATCCGGCTGGCTTTCAGGCCTGAGTCAACCTTCGCACAAACCATCGAGCAAACCAGCGATTAGAGCGGGGGGGTTGAGAAGTTCTCCAGGGTGAGGGACCAATATGTCTTAAGGGGAAATAGGGCACCTTGCAGCTCGCTTGGGGGCCCTGGTTCTTTGGCATTCTGACTGGCTGTGACAGGCTGGCAGTGAGGACTTGCTGCCCAAAGAACTGCTGGACAAGGATTTCGAAAAGGCACAACGGGTTCTGACCAGGGCTAGCGCACTCTCAGAACTTCAACACGTTTCAAGGCGCGTTCAAGCATCCGAACTAAATTTCATGGCCAAATGACAAAGTTGTCATAGGGACAAAGGCAGCGATTTGGAGTGAGAGGACATGTGCCCATGTTTTCCGAAAGCAGGAACCACTTGACAGTAGCCAGGGTAGCTCTCCCAACAACCCGAGTTCACCGGCACGTGCCTTGGATTTCTTTGGCACATGGTTTGTTTGTGGTTAACCTAAAGGCCCTCCGCAAAAAAGCACACGAAAGTGTAAACATGCTCCTTTGAAGGGATCCCTTGATGTTGAACCAGGAAAGGTCGGAAGGCAACCCACAACTAAGAGGCGCCTAAACATGTGCAGTTGTTGTTTGTCTCTTTCAAGCTGTCCAAATCGCAGTCTCAGCTTCCTATCAGCTTCCTGTTGGAAGCGCTCATGTGTTCGTGTTCCTGTTCCTGTTCCTGTTCCTGTTCCTGTTCGTGTTCGTGTTCGTGTTCGTGTTTGTGTTTGTGTTTGTGTTTGTGTTTGTGTGGGTGGGTGCGTGCGTGCGTGCGTGTGTGTGTGTGTGGGGTGTTAGTGCTTGTGTTTGTGTTTGCATTAGCTTTTGTGTTTGTGTGTGTGCAATCTGACGGCCGCAACTTTCCACAACTTGCTACACTAAGCGTCTTTCCTAATCCCTAACCCACAGTGTCCGATCAATGTGTAAATATGGTTGTTCACACGAGGTCAAAGTACATTCTCAGAAGGTACTTGGACCGCTTGGTTCATGAAACCCACAAAGGCGTGCCACTCGTAGTCAGGATGTGTCGTGAGAAGTCACTGCACCGCCGTCAGGGACATCCAAAGCCGAATTTTGAACAAGAACGGCTTCACATTTAAACCGGACCTTGGCGCCCGGCTTTCTCCTTAACTGCACCTTCCCAGTTCTCACTTCGTACTCCTTGGGGGGTCAGTTTTATCGAGGCTCTTTGCCCCCCTGGCTTACGGCAGTTCAGAACCCTCCGCCGTTGGCGCCGGTCAGAACTCTCCTTTTATCCTTTTTTGGGGGAGGGTTCCCCTACTAAAATAGACTGAACAAAGGGTACCCTTATTCTAACCTCTCTACTGCAGGACCTAGTTGCGGTGCAGCCCTCAGCCAGGTTTTCCCGCCGGCGCATCCGTTTTCGTGTTGCACGTCGCAGGGCCGGGTGGCCGCGGGCTTCGTCTTCCCCGAGCGCCTGCGGCTGCCCTTCCGCCTCGCCTTCGCGCCTTTGCTCGGCTCGCAGAAGACGTTGCGTCGCGGGGCGGGGATTCAGCCATGTTCAGCCTCCCGAGGCCAAAAAATAGAATGCGCGCAGAGGATTCTCCGACTATGTTGGCCTCAAAGTATTATTTAGATCTCTTCGGCCCCTGAACACGGGAAAGAGTTTTCACCAAAACACACACTCAGGGTTTGCCTTTTGTCCGATCCCAAGTGGGTTTGGCCCCGGCTCAGGTTGGATGTTGATGTAGGGGGAACCCCAATGCACCAGCCCAAAGTTTGGGCGTTTGGAGGTGGCTTGGGAACAATCCCTAAAGACCCAGGAGTTTGCACTGGGCTTGAGCTGGGTTTCTGTTTGCTGAGCGACCACTCCAGTTCGGAGCCAATGTTCTGCAAGTGCAGCTGATGGCTTTATATGCCAAAACACACACACACACACAACACACACAC